TTCGTCTTTTCAAAGATTCCGTGATGTCTGAACGTGATGATCTTGTCCTGCAGCAGCTGATCGTGGCCTGCTGGGAGCTCTTTCTACTCGTACTCCATAAAAGTGCTATATGCACAAGGGTGGAAGTGGGCGAAGACTATTCACAGAAGGGGCACTTAACTACCTGAAGACACGAGTTTCTGAATTGAATTGAAGAAGACACAGATCGCGAAAGACAAGAAAGAAGCGGAGGTAGTGAAAATTCTGGCGACCGTGCGTAGGACATGCTCGTGTGCGAATCTTTACGGTGTAAGTCGTAACGCCTAGTGGAAGTACGACCATATAACATGGCAAGTATTATTGCCAAGACAGATACTATTATTACATGTTAAAAATGTGTATCAATCGTGAAACCGACAAAGCAAATCAAACACTGATCGACGGCCGATTTCGTAGAAAAATAATGCGAATGACACAAGTGTTGGCTGTTTCAACATCTTTCGCATTCGATAGGCTCATGATTTTTGCAACGGTCGGGTTTTATCATACCCGAACGTTTATCGGACATCACAACATTTCGCGCCTAATTTCGCAGGCCAAAAAATTTACCACTGAAGCATCCAAATCATGAATTTTTTTTCGACTTAGTCAAAGAAGAGACTGTTAAAGAAACAAGAGCTTTACTGATGGTAACTGCCCCACACATCAGCAAAAGATATCGGGTATAGTACTCTAAAAATGTACAAAAATGTTAAAGTATGCACATAACGATCTAGCGCGTTTTATCGTCAACGTTCCAGTTTAACAGCGTTGAAGACCCACTGAGTCTCAAAGTAGATCTATACCGTCGTAGCTTCACTACAGCGGCGCAATCAACCTGTAACCGAAATCCGTCAGTTAATAACTATATACGATTACAATTTTTGTCAAAAATTGATTTTACGACAAAAGCAGAAAATATTTCTTAGAGAAGGACAATCTAATGAATATATAAAATAGCAAAAAAATACCTTGATACTGTCTACCTATATATCGTATAGAATCCTGTGTATTTAACTCTACGGGCAAGCCAAGAATCGATGAGACCTTCATTCAGGCAAGCTTGACCATGGGTTTTAAAATTGAAAAAAAAAAAACTCGGTTTTGAAAGGAGCAGCAAGCGTCTCATTCTGATAACAACACATCTTTTGGGGCGACTGTAGGCCTTTCTCTGAACGCTGATAAGTAGATAATGAATGTTAATCGTATATATTCATTATTTATCTATAGAATGTTCGAGATAAACGATAGATGGTCAAAGCGATTTGCGAGTGGCGTTCTTTGGAATCAGAGAATATTATCTCCTTCTGCGTAATCATGAATCCGCTATGCCGCAACGAAGAACCACTTGCCTTAGCAATCCTGCTGTCTCAACGAAGGCCTTCGATGAGCCTATGATTCACTTGTGCTTCTGTCTTCTGTGAACATACTGAGAGCCTTGCTTAGAACTGCATAATCGCTCTAAACCATCTGCTTTTGATTCGAAGGGACGAGCGCATCCTACTTCGAATAGCTGCTTCCTAGGTTAGGTTTCGACTACATAGCTGCCACTACGGTCACCGCTACAACACTGCCTTTAAAGGCTGAACCACTAGTAAAGTCAGACTACGGGATAATTTCATTTGCTTCTCCTTGCAACGTAATTTTCATTATTTACTCGTCTAATCAGTTATTTGACGAAAGAACAATGATAACTTGGGGAATTCTGATCTAACATAACTTTTTCTGCTCGTCAAGGCAGCAGTGGTAGGTGAGCACAGTTCCCAGATGGTTTTGTTGTCGTTAACGTTCCCAAATTCAACAGAAGAGTTGAATACTACCTGCCATGGTTGACGGTATACGTTGGACGGTAGGTTGAACGGTTTGCCTGCGAAAAACATATATATACCTGATGACTTTGCACGAGAATTACAATGGCCCGTTAATTTTCTATTATAGAACCATCTCAACAATGAATAGGTGTACAAGAGGAAGTACTGTGTTATGTTTTGCATTTATGCTCGAAAGCACCGTTTAGCTTACTTGTATTATTATATATTTATTTAAAAAAAAGAAAAAGTATTTCTTTCTGCTAGTGTTTTTCTTCTCTCTTTTTGTACAATAATTGACAGTATGCTTCGATATATAGGACCAGGAGAGGGAACATGCTACTTTTCCAACGTTGCCTTAGGTGCTCAAGCGATGTTGCTTGTCGGTCAAGGTTATCATCATTGTCTGACAATGATAATAACTTTAGCCGTGCTAAGTTAAAGCATTCTTAATGACAAGCAGGAATGTTACCATTTGAACCCTAGGATAGGGCGAGTGATGACAGCTCTAAGGGTCCATCCATTTCGAATTTCACGAATAAAATTTCGTTACGATAAAGGATATAAAAAAAATAAAGATTTGACACGATAACACAGATGCACAAACTCGAAAAAGGCAGCGGCCTGCTTAGCGCAACATAAATTAATTGGGAGAAATTGGGCCGAAAAACTGGGCTTGGCTGGAGATCTGGTTATACACGTGCTAATTTGAAGTTCCCAGATTATCCTAACTGTGTCGTTGGTTCAGCTCAAAATTCTGAAAGACCACCCAGTTAGTTGCTAGGGGGCCAAGTTAACCAGTGAGAGGATAAACTACTGGATTATATTTTATCGTGTGCCCCGCAAGCCATGTATCTATAGCCGACAAGTTTTTGCCTGGCTCATATGAATGAATCGACATTGCAACGGCTAGCTTCCAGACTAGAACGAGCCAAGACCCGGTTTGACGTAAGGTAAGCCTCATGATTCGCCTAGCTTCTAGCGTTCGAACGGAAGTGGTTCCATTCTTTTCTATGGGGCATATTCATTTAAAGGGCGAAGCCTACTCGGCTGGAGTTTTTCATTAAAAATGTAACAACTAGTATTCATGCTGATATCTTAACTGAACTGCAGACCTTATTTAGCTGGCTTTGGGACAGCAAAGTTTCTTGGAAGTGGCGTTTATTATAACTTCCGAATAATTATGCTACGAATTTCTCCAGGTGTCGGATATATATACTAAAAAAAAAAAAAATGTCGACTTTTTCTGCCTCGGACGCCATATCTATGGTTGCATTTGCTCCCTCTTTAGCCAACTTTAAGGTGTTTTGAGTCATACATTTTCGCGTGTCATTTTCTCAGATTGTCGATAACGTCAAGGCGACTCGGAAGATAAATATGGCTCAATAGTAAGATAAGAAACTATCTAAATTCTGTTATACAAAAGAATGTAATATATACCACCACGTAGAAGTTTGGCTGGAAGCCAGCAGATTAATGGAAAATCCGTTCAGCACTTGTTGGCCCATATCCATGACGACGCGCAAGACCAATGGTGTCTCAGAGTAAGCTGACGAAAATTCGTTTATATATTAGTTATTCTCATCAAAAATGAAAATTCATTTGGTGTATAGTTAGCAAACACAGCTTACACGAAACATTGAATAAATAGGATTGCCTACGTTACTGCAAGTCTCTAACGTGCCATTAACCTTAACAGAATCTAACGCTGACAAAGTGAACTTAATTAAAAGAACGTCCGGTCAATCAAATGGTCATTAAGTGAGATAAGTTTATTTTTAGTTTAGACGACGCTCTGCTCCAATAGTTCTTCTCTCGCGCTAAACTTCGTGTCTGAGACAATGTCCTGCATCGTCATTTGTGCAGGCGATAGATACCATCCACTTCGGCCACAACACGACGATTCACGGGCCTGACAAGACGACACAATTCATATAGGCTGCCACACTTTATAGGACGTAATAGCCGAGAGGCCTGGAGTGGCTTGTCATCTTTGTTTCTCCATTAGTGGCGCTTAACCACCTGCAGCGTTCTCCTGGTCCGTTAGTCTTCCTGGGCCGACATACGGATACCCGATCGCACACATTGACAAACTATTTCTCTTGCCGGTCGATCACAAACTTACTGCTATCTATATTGATTCCAGTGACAAACATTTACCTTCTATTTGAGACGAGATAGATTACAACGAAACATCGATTAGGAGGACACACCACCATTGCTGAGCTTCATAGGTGTATTTCCCCTTCCATTCTGAACGGCAATATGTGCATATCCAGTTGATCCTAACCCAGATTTCGCATATGTACACGAAAACATCACAGAAAGTTTTTGTATACTAATTAGCTTGCCCTTCTAGTTCTTCTAAACTTGCCACCATTCACCACAGCGGTACACGGGATACGAAATAATCTACATCTGCGTCCGGTTCCAGCTCAGGCGGAACAAGCATCCGCATTTAGGCCACTGTGTCAGCTTGCCTTACAGATCAACAGTGCTAAACATTCAAGAAAAAAACCTTAAATTTCAGCCTAGTGAAGGAATGCGCAGTGTGGGCGCGAGCCTTGATCCTTGCGGTATCTCATTTTTAAATACCATTTTGTAAACAGCACCGTGGATTCACCAAAAATTTATGTCGACTTACGTAAAACTTCGCGCGGACACATACAGGGGAAGACGTACGTCTCTTGACAGGTAAAAGCCTTTATTTTACAGGTGTAAGAGCAGTGAAAGAGTATAAATGTAGTACAAATTAGAGTAAAGTTTAACGCATGAGCTTAACTGGATTAGGACAGAGAGCGCAGACGCGTTCACCCGCGCGAAGTTTTGCATGATTCGACATATCGATCTCTGTCTCATTTCTATTCTCTCCTTTCAAATGTATTAATCAAGTGCAACCAAATTATAAAAATATCGTTAGCAGTTTGTCCTTCAGCCTTCCAACTATTGACCAATATCGTCCATCAGCTACTGCCATTTTTTTCGCCGTTCCCAGTTTAGCCCGTTTCGTCTTACTGCAGACTCCGTCGCTCACCACAGATGGCGTTCGTGTCGCAGCGCCGTCACAGATGTCACGACGCGCCGGTGAGCACCAGCGATAGAGGGCCATTTCAATGCGATCTGCTCCGCCACTGCCGTCTGCCATTATAGCACATGCGCCAGGCACCGGTGACTGATGTCCGTGTGCGTCGCTGCGGACTGTGCCTCGCCATTCTGCTCCATGTTAATGAGCGAAGGAGAGTTCGCTCGTTTGCTCGCCGCTGGTGAACGCTGGTCGCGCCGTAGAATCAGCGCTCCATCCTTCCGTAGTCGGTACACAGCTCAGCCGACTCCGCCGGCTTTGTCTACGCATGTTGGCGGGACTCGCGCTGGCGTTAGCTCGTGGTGTTCGTCGTAGTGACTGGTGCTCCACGACCAAACTACAACTCGGATCACACGCAGACAGAGAGAGAAAGCGCATTGCCGAACGTCGTATAACGATCCCCGTTGACAGTCTTCGAACAATTCGACGTTCACCGTTCGTCAGTACAGCTGCTGCGGTGGCGGCCGAACAGCCCAACGTAGCACCAACGTAGTCAAACACACATATCCGTAAGCGGCGGGAGAGACCGGCAGATCTATTCAGTTGAGCTCAGTCCCGACTTCGCCCGATCCGATCAGGAGTCCCACCGCCCATCGTCGTTTGTCTATCGAAACCATCGCAGAACTGAAGAGGGGCTCTTTTGCTGCGGGTGAGGTGCATCAGACACCAGCGACTACTTCGGCCGGTTAGTTGGCGCTCGGCGTTTCGTTCCTCTCCGACTGTCCGGTCTTCAGCTGAAAGCTGGACTGTGCCTGGGCCGCTTAGTTCGCTCGCTCCTTCTATCGGTAACGATTTCTCGATCTGGCTGTTCGTTCGGTTCCAATCGTGCGTTGGATTCAAAAACGAACTACAAGGTAGGTACCGGGTCAGCAATCGCCGACGAAGTCAAGCTCGCTGAAGGCAGAAAGCTATCCACATTTCTGCCACGCTTTCAAAAAGTAGAATACTACAGCATTAGTTCAATACTAGGGGACAAAATGATGAAACAGTGTAGCGGTTCAATGTCATGTAGTCGCAAGCTCCATAAGGTGCGATCGTGTCTCTGCTCGCATTGAAATAACAACGACAAAACACGGCGTTTGCTGCGGTGACTAGAGGGCAAGGCTGGTCCCGTTAATTTAGGCAGCGGAATAAGCATTTCAGGCTTTGCTACTCAGATGAAGATTAGGTCAATTGTCCTATGCTCGAGTGAGTGGAGCCATCACATCATTGAGTTGATTTTAGTGGATGTGCACATTGAATGGCCAGGATGTAGACGCTAGCGCTAGAAACGAGTGCGGACGATGTGATTCGTCAGTGAATTGTTTTGTGACGATGTCCATGGGTATCGATGGCGAGACGTCGATGAGGTGCCGATAATTATCGCACCCCCATGGAACAGCGACGAAATCTTCAGATGCAGTGCTCCCTATATGCTTGGTGTCTGTATTTTATGTTCGTAAAAAAAACCGTCTCTGTTGTTACTGGTAACGATAACAACAACTGCAACTGCTGAAATAACAACAACAACAGTGTCGCTTGGATACCTCAGAGTGTTTGATTATATCTATCAGTGAACGTGAAGCAAAATTCAAGTCACCATCGACCGACTATCCAAACGTCTATGATTCGTCTGCTGCTACTAGACACTCCAGCGTAAGGTTAGGAAAAACCTGAAATACACCGTGTACAATCGAAGCGTGATAACAGTGCACTGCGATAATAAGTGCCTAGGCCCAATGCATCTATAGATGTGCCTATGAGATTTCTACCAATTTCAGGGTCCTGTGCTTCATGATGGACATTGTCCAATAGATCTATAAAATTGCACGTGGCCTACTGTTTGCCTTCAGCATCGTTAGACGTTATCGAAGCATTAGTAATACACAATTTGTTTCGAAGTTCACTTTCGAAGTTTGTTCGATGTTCAGAACATACTGCTTATATTCAAGTCATGTCACACACGGACTTCATTCAGCCGATGACCGTGATCAGTAAATTATGTGTATAATATAGCGCACTATTCTCTCCCACTTGCCAAATGTCTATCAGTGGGAGCGCGTCTGAAGTTGTTGTCGCCGCCGCCGCCGCCGCCTGTAAACGTTTTGCTGTTCGGCCCTACATTGGATTGTCTAAGCACTCCTTGAATTGTAATAACGGTTACTTTGTAAGCGTACTTTGACAACGGTGCAGTTAAGGCGATTGATACAGAAACCTTTGATAAACGATCTGCTAAAAGTTGTACACGTGCGAACATCAACTTAGCTAGCAACTATCGATACTAGGCTTTGCGAGGGGCTCGGATAAAGGAGACAACCTTTTATAAACAGTACGTCTATTTGAGGTGTCCCAGCGCTGCTCCGTTGTTTTCGTGCAGCGTTTAAGCCAAATTTCGACACGCTTACGGTGTCCTAATATGATTCTATAATGTATACATTGTGCATTAATAACAGAGGCACATAAGTTTAGCATACTCTTTTGTTCTTTCTGTCCATCAGTTCTATTAGTCTATGTTCATTTCAACGGTTATGCCAACTGTCATCGTAAGTAACAAGTTTCTGCCTGTTTTACGGATGCCTAGTCTTCCTTCTAGGTCTGTGGCCACTACGCTATTGTCAAGCTTTAGCCGACGTCTTCTAACCGCAATAGCGATACTCTTGCCAGCTAAGTTCATAACTTCCACTCTGTAACTGAGTTCTGGGCCGGTACTTGCTTTAGTACTGCTTCGCCTACAAGGTTACCACCACGCGGTAATTTAGGGGTTATTCTCCTGTTGAACGATACGTTGTCGTGCTGATGCCGAGTGTCGCCATATATAGCGCTCCTACGGAACTGCTGCTACTACTGGATCTATTTATTTCATTTGTATAAAAACAATAAAAGACGCCTAACATATTATCTATACCCAGTTGGTCCGCTGGTAAGCTCAGCTGTACGCCACTATTTGTCGGCCTGGAACAAAGACATCGTAGGCTAGCATCGATTCGATCTAAGTGGCTAAGCATGGTGTGCTCTAATCTATTGTTCAGTCCATATTTTGTGTGACGTATCGACTAAGTCGTTTCAATGGTCTAGCTCGTCGTTCAAGCCGTCATTTTCCTCCGCTTCACGTATTTACCGAGCGGCGAAACCGCATCGGGTTTCTTACTCACGGTGGAGTTGACGCTGGCGCCGCTGGGAATATCGTCGGATCAGGCCGGATCACTAAACAGACATTGTCAGTCGCCTTGTTGATGCCAGCTGATGGAGAAAGAGTTACCTCTTCCAGTTGAAAGTTATGACTCAGCAGCCCTCAGCGTTGAGAAGAAAAGGACTATAGAAATGTATAGAATGTTTATTTGAAATACAACTGTCACTAAATAGGACCGTCTAAGGGTGAACGGAATCAGCTGTTTCAAATGGATTGGATTTTCGCAGCTCGCTGGTGATATGGCGGTCCCTGACTAGCTGACCGATCTATGACACTATTACTTAGCGCTTTATAACGTTCTTGTTAGAAGAGCAACATGACTGAACGGGATTCATAAAGAGGACATTCGTGAAAAGTCCTAATTTGCAGAATTGAATCCAGTCCTTATCGGAGTTAGGATACAAGCTAGACGCAGTCGTCGAATCAACAGTGGCGACGCGAATATTCAACAATTATTATATTGCGTAATGGGCGTGTCCCACCGAGCACAGCAACATCAGCAATAACCCGAACATCAACTGTCAATGGCTTTCACGCCTTTTCTACCCAGTCGACGTTTTCTTTTCTTTTTTTTTTGGGGGGGGGGGGGGGTGCGAACTGAAATCATCGACAATTATTCTTTGATTTTTTTCGTTTGGACTCCGCAACGACACTTCACCCCCAGCACTGTACTGATAGCCAGGCCACGGTGTCATCAGTGGGAAAGCATGATTCCTAACGGGACACACGCGTTGCAACGATGGTGATCGTTTTAATGAAATAGAGTTAATTGAATACGTCCGCAGAGGATAGGTCGTGATCATAGTAAGACGTCGTTGGCACCAATCGGCGAGCAATGGTCAGCAGGCTTTGGGGAAAAATCTGGGTTAAATCCTTGATACTGTATTGAAAAGACGATTTCGAAGGCTAACTAACTGCCTAATAAGTTAGTGAGAACTATTTGCCTATTAACCTAAAAACACTTGGCGAGGTGGTTTGATCCAGGAGATGACACACTTCGATTTGCGTCGGCGAAAGCTAGTCGCTATGGGCCGTAAAAGTCGAAACCTTTCCTTGACGAACGTAAAAAATACAAACGAAGAGTTGTTTATATCAGTCCCGCTTTACCAGTATCAAATCGATATAAATTCTTCGATATCAGTATTAAAAGTACGAACGTTCGGGAAGAGGCCACGGCCAGACAGGCAGATCGGTGCTATCACGTTGATGCGCAGAGAAGAAAAAAAAGGATGGTGTTGTAGAAGTACGCAGAAAAATTGGTTAGCTAGATAGATTTAGCTGAAGAGAAGGAGACCGACTGAGCCGAAATGGGCATGGGAAATCTTGAGGGTGAACTTCGACGAATCTGTTCAGTACCTGTCTCTAAAGCGTTGGCTTAGTCATATATATACACAGGCCCAATCTCTAGTCGCCTATAGCCTCATTTGGCCAGCTCGAGTTAGGCGGTGCCGTGATGTATGCGCGCTATTTTTGAATGTAATGAGACCACCAGCGAATTCCCGAATAGAATAGAAAGTCAATTATGAATGGGGAAAGTAAACTTGTGTCTGTCTGTTCAGTTATGGCTGACGCGCGTATTGTGCTATGACAGCTCATTCGATCTATAGAAATATCCGTTTTTACGCGTAATCACTCTTAGAGTTTGACAGAAATTATCGGCGCGCCTTCATACTTACATACATACATACATATATATATGTATACATGTGCTGATTTGGCTCACCACCGTCGTTGTCATGTAGCCCACCTTTAGTGCATCGATTGATAGTCTGAGTCTACTTTTCACATTACATTTTTTTATTTAGAGCATCAGAGTACCCAGAAACTCCACAATTAAGTGACAAACCAGAAGGGAAATTATTAAAATCAAATATTTTATATCATATATTCAAGCCGTTAATAAAGTATTACGAAGGAATTGGTCAAAAAAATACGTTGCCATTATCATTACGAGGGTCAGGCTGAGCGGGCGTACAGACATTCACGCTCGCTGATGGCCTAATAGGAATCGCGCCGTTCTACTTCACGATATAAAAGCATTTATTGTAATGTGTATATATATATATATATATATATATATATATAACTTGGTGTGCTAGTATCGCATAGTAATAATTTTTACACTATAGCTAGAGGTCGATTTGGGCGCTTCCCATTCTTTCATCAAGCTTCACGTCGACATTGCCATTCACGAGGTGCTACGCGTTCATCGAACGTTGTTGCTACGTGTAAAAACCAAGCTGTGACTTCGTCTGTGGCTTGCCTTTTGTCGCTACCTAGCTCTAGCTCGTTCTACTAAAAAGAGTCGATTGTCTCCTCCTTGACGGTGGCTAGCGTCACTCGTTCGCGCGTGTTACTGAGGTGAGTTGGCGCTATCGCCAACCGTTAGTTCCTGGCTAACGAGAACTACAGCCACCCCGACAAGTTGAGCTTAGCAGTTGCGATTGTCAAGGTGGCAAGGCCTACAAGCGCAGCTTCGGGCTAACGGCCAAAACACTGTATATTGACAGCATAATACACTGACCATCTTTCACGAAACACACTTCGCCATAACCCAGTCGACATTGCCCCTGCATGAGCACTGTAATAATACTTATGATCAGTGCATACATTTAGCTTGGCAATACTATGAATCGTTATGCTACCGACGCGTCTATGGGCGTATGGCCGGCCGTAGAGGCCGGTTGAACGACTCAGAGACAGGTTATCGCCATAATGTGTCTTAAATCATGTCTGTGCACAAGCAGCTCAAGGGACGCCCTTTCATGTTAAGTATACTATCCGTAATTTCTGCTGCCTGTCATACGTTTGGTAAAGGGACGATCCAGCGTTTAATGCATCGTACTCTGCGTTTATTTGAATCTGTTACTTCCGCTATGGCTGTTATTATTGCTGGGTGCCTGGTCGTGCTTGTTGCGCTACAGACGTTGTTTGTGGTTGCACTTGGTGACGGTAAACGGGTCGTTTTTCTTTAAAAGTCCGGGTTACGCTGCTTCCATCAAATCGCCGCCCTAATCGTGGACGCCATCTATAGGCCTGTTGTTTCCCGATGATAAAAATCATCAGACCTCTTATTTTTTTCCTCTCATCGTAAGAGGGCTGACAAAAAGGAAACGATCGACCAATCAATGGAAAGAAAGCTGCGTAGGCGGCCACGTAAAAGTCTACAGGAAGAGAGGGTGCTGTGCCAGAACGTCAAAGGACGTAAATAGCGATAATACAAGAAAAATTAACTGATCCTTCACTGGGACTGGCGCTGTCGCCGTCGCCGCTGATGCTGGTGCTGCTTTTGCCTCGAAGTGCAATGAGCGGTGATAAGTCAAAAATGCTCTTTTTACAAAACTGGCGTCTGCGTCTCTTCGGTACGTCTTTGTATGGGAACACTTCGGTCGATGTCTCTACGATTATCGATAGGGATATAATATGATTTTAATAGTGTGATGGTTTTATCTAGAATGAAGTGCAAGTCAC